AATTTCAAATTAGACTAATTCAAATTCAGTTTTCAAAAGCATTTATTCAAGTTACAATTCAGATTCAATCTCAGCAATTCAAATTTACCTTATTCAAATTCAGTTTCTGATGGCACAGATTTCTGCCCATGTTTCCACCCCATCTCCATTGATGTAAAGAGGTTTAATGTCCATTTTCTTTTTTCTGAAATCCACAACAATCTCCTTTGTCTTGGTTGTGTTCAGGAGCAGGCTGTTGTCCCTGCACAATGCTGTCAGCTGCTCCACTTTGTCCCTGTAGGCAGATTCATCCTCCCCCAGGGATGAGCCCGACCACAGTGGGTCGTCTGCAGATTTTATGATGGTGTTACTGTGGTGAGCGGGGGCACAGTCATACTGTATGTGTATAGTGTGAAGAGCATTGGGCTCAGCACACAGTCCTGGGGAGAGCCGGTGCTGATGCTGATGGCCGAGGAAATGTGGGGACCCACCCTTGTGTCCGGTTTGTCAGAAAGTCCTTAATCCATAGACAGGTGGAATATGGGAGTCCTAGGGTCAACAGCTTGCTCACCAATCTGTGAGGGAGGGTGGTGTTAAAGGCAAAGCTTAAATCAGGGCTGCCCAATCCCGGTCCTCGAGAGCTACTATCCTGCAGCTTTTAGATGCATCCCTACTCCAACACAGCTGAATCAAATGGTTTGATTGCCTCTTCAGCATGCCATCATGTTTGGCAAAGGCCTGATAACAAGCCATTCATTTGATTCAGCTGTGTGGGAACAAGGATGCATCTAAAAGCTGCAGGACGGTAGCTCTCGAGGACCGGGATTGGGCACCCCTGGCTTAAATCAATAAAGAGGTGTGCGGAGCTCCTCTGCTTCAGGTGGGACAGGGTAGCATGGAGAGCAGCAGCGTCCTCAGTAGACCTGTTAGCCCTGTAGGCAAATTGGTGAGTATCAAACTACTGGCCGATACTCATTCAGGCAGGTTGTGGGTGATTTGTCTTTTTTCTTTTGGTAAGGGGACTATGGTGTAGGATTTCAGACGGGGTGGAAGTGAGGCCTGGTAGTGTGACAGATTAAAAACATCAACTAAAAGTTAGATTTATTTAACTATTTACACTGTTGATTTCTGCAGTTAGTATCATAGTATGCAATAATTATGATAATAATAATGATGGATTGCATTTATATAGCGCTTTTTGGGGCCCTCAAAGCGCTTTACAATACCACTATTCATTCACTCTCACATTCATACACTGGTGGAGGCAGCTACAGTTGTAGCCACAGCTGCCCTGGGGCAGACTGACAGAAGCGAGGCTGCCATATCGCGCCATCGGCCCTTCTGGGGCTATAACTGCATTATACACACACATCTCCTGTCTTTGTCAGTTCAGTTTCAACCATATAGAAATTTGCATGAAACATGAAAGCAGAACACCTGGTCACAACTGCCAAGAGTGGTAGCTCTCTGATAAGATCAAACAGTAAAGGTTTGAGAAAGACAAATGTCAAAGCACATAAAACACAGACAGATCAGCTCATCTCTGTAGATAGCATTTAAACTGAAAACATACCAGTGTTTGTGGAAAAACTCAGATAACCTAGAATCTGCATTTACTGGTTCTTTGTTTTAGTCAGTTCAGTAAATTAAGACAGACTCTTTAAGATCAAAGTAACAAATGATCTTGATGTCTCTGGTAAGGGACCTCTGGAAGGTGAGACCTCTCTTAAACAGTATGCGACAAGGCTGTCTCAATCTGCTGAGACCATAGAAAGATGGGCCGCTGTCCTGTATGGCATTTGAGAAACCAATTCCCACAACTTCAGAGCCCTATACAATACTTCTTATCCATAATGAATAAGAAGTATTGTATAGGGCTCTGGATGTCGTCATTTATGCCCCTGCTTTCCTGTTCCTGCTTTAGTGCCTTTAGTGCCATCTCCTTTCAGCACCGACTGTGACTCATCTTCCACAGTTCTTCCTCACTCAGCTCGGTCATACCACGCATGACCATTATTGGTGCCATGGGTGATGTGATCTAACAACATTTAGGTGACTATTGGGTCAGCAGATTGAAGTTTAATCAAAAAGTTTGACTGTGAGAAGTTATTACTTAAAATTATGTTTTAGTGTTCAGATGCAGTTCTAATGTTCAGAAATCCACACATGGAAACGATGTCATTACATTACACCACATCATCCTGTGATCAAAACATGACCCGATGTCCACTACAAAAGACTTACGATTTTTTATTTTTTTTCAAAATCACAATTTTGCGGGGGGAAAAGCAATTGTAAGATATTATTTTCATGCAAAATAGTTAAATTATCTTTCAAAAAAATAAAGATCAAAACATATTTTGCTCAGGCTCACAGGAGGAAATATTCCCCAAGCTGTGAATGACTTGCTATGTTTCTGTTTTGTCTTATTTATTTCCTCTGCACTTGATATCAACAGCAGCAAGGACACAGGAATGCTGCAACTGTTGAATGCAAAAGAATGCTGTTGACATCAAAGGCTGAGGAAGTTGGGGGAGGGTGGAGGCTGGGGGGGCTGTGAGTGGGTACCCTGTGGGATTGGTTGTCCATCAGCTCCTGTAGACATTATCAATTGGCCAAAATTGGAAATCTTTTCAAGTTACTATTCTCTCATATGTGCACTTTGCAAAAAATTTGGATTTCTTTTTATTATTTACATTTCCATTCAAGGGCAACTCTGAGCACTGACACACAGGCTGTGTGAGTCAGAAACAGACATCTTGTAAAGGGATTTTCCAGATGGAAATGAAAACACTGGAAATAGTTCGTAGAAAGGAAATTCTCTACTATGATAACACCATTTTATGTCCGCATATGGAAGAAGCACAAAAAAGAGAACAAGCAGCAAAAGAAAACAAATACTAAAGGAGGAAAATCCCTCAGACAGACCCAGAGACTGCGCAGAGACTGAGGTCACTGGCAGAGTCCTTTCAGCTAGGCAAAGAATATGCAGTTACATGAGATATGAATAACTCATACAACAGTGAAAGTAAGGATTCAGTTGTAATAGATGATGTTATATCTTCAGCATAGCTTAACTTTGATTTTCAAAATGTTATTGCTCAGTTAGTCGTTTCAGCAATCCGATTACCTATAGACTGTGTTCAGGCAGTCATATGATATATTCTACCTATTGAAAGGCGTTAAGTAATATATATTTTTTGGAACAACAAAAATATACCTCAAATGAACTATGAAAATGCTTGAATAAAATATGTCATTGTCATTTCTACAGCAGATTTAAAGCCACAGGAGTTGATCCAAAGTGCTTTTCAGGTCTCAAAAAAAAGAAACCTGGTCTGTTCCAGAAAACATTTGGAAAAACTGTGAAGCTGTGTTTTGTTAACTTTGTTAACTACCAGTGAAAAGCAAAGGTCAGCTATTTAGTGCTCATTAAAATGTGCTCAGATTTAGCATTTTACTTGGTAAAACCAGGTTTGGTAGCTAATCATAGCTTTCTATGGCTGCCCATGCACATGGTTAACTGGGGAGCAACATTCACAAAGTCGATTAAGCCAGCTTCTATCAGTTTGTGCTCGAACTGAAAACTGCTAACAATGGCTTTCTTTCCGTACTGACGCACAACCCTAAATCAATGATCAGCCTTTCTTGAAGAGAAGAAACTCACAGTTGTCAGACTGTTTTTCTTTGTTTTTTTTGTAATTTTTAAAACTTTTGAACACTACTCCAGAAATAGGGCCCAGATCCAAGTTGCAATGGTTGCCTAGTCAACGTATTGCTTCTTGAAACCATGCATATCTTTTCTGCCTTAACATTATTGTCTTACTGATTTCAGGTTGGTGGTGCAGTCAGAGAGGTGACAGGTTACACTGCAACTTATCGTCACACCATATCGGTGGAGGATGGCGGAAACGAGGGTGACTGCTTACATATCAGACTTGGCTACCACCATGCCATCAAAGGATTTCCCAACTGCGTGGTAGCTGATGCTGTCATCAACTTCTTCATGGCGCGGACGGTCAAAGTGCAGCAGGTTGGATTTGACCCGCGCCTCGCACGGCAGGCCCATCTAGGTGAGTTATTAATTGTTATCAGAATCACAATACTTCAATAATCCTTAACGAATTTGTGTTACTTGTGTAGAACTTATAGAACTTGTAGAAATTACATTGATGAGTTTCTTCGCAATGAAAAAAAGTAAAGTGGCACAAAATCAAGGCTTGTGGAAAATGGAATACTTTCTTTTTGCAGAGTTCTTCATCGACGCTCTTGGCCACCTCCACATCGGCTCCTGTAGTGACGTCATTGTGAGTCACGCGTCAAAGATCATACTACCCTGGAGTAAAACAGACGTACAAAAGGCCTATGAAAAATTCCGCTACTCATCGTCAGCCACGAATGCCAAAACTCATAATGAAATCTTCTACTTTAAGAACAGGTTCAAATGCATGACCAGTCAATGAAGTGTGAGAAATAGTTTTGCTCGGGTAAAATAAGACAAACTGTTTATTTTGGCTTTTACTGACAAAAGAACTGGGTGGATTACCCAGTTATGATCTTTGGTATCCAAGGTTGGTGTTTGTTTTCTTTTTTTTTGTTTTTTATGTTTGTGGCTTGTAGTGTTTCTAGCAACTCTCTGGAAACTTGTAAATCGCCTTTTGACTTTTTTCAAAGCTTTTCAAACTGATTTGCAAAATGTTGACACTGAAAAGGAAAATCTTCAGTTACATAATAAATAGCTTCAGCTTGTGAAGCACCGCATTTTTTTTTTATTTATTTTATTTAAACAGGTTCTAAAAAAAATGGAGTTAAGAAAAAGGTACGTTGTTGCAAGTCACAATATAGCAGCAAGTATTCTACAGCAAAACAGTTCCAGTTTGATAAAAATGGCTTTGTAAACTAATGCCCAGTGTCACATGATTGTTTTTGTTGTTTAAGTTGTTTCATTTGTATGTATTTTTAGTAGGATACTGTTATGCCCCACTTAGAAACGAAGTGTTAACTGGGGTGGGGGGGACACAAAGTGAAAAAGAAAACTCCTGAAAAATGTCATTAAACATGATTTATTGCACAAAACTACTAAAGTAAAGATGAACACAGGGAAGCTCTTTTCTTCAGGGTCTCCAAGGCCAAAACAACAAATAAAACACCCTCTTTAACTAAGAAATGAACCAAGAACTCTTTAGCCGAAAACAAAATACAATGGCTGAGCTCCCTGTCTAGCAAAAGCAGGAGCAAACGATTGAAACAAAAATGGCAGAGAACCCCTACCTGCTTCCTCTGTGATTAACCAATTACCACTGTAAAGGCACACTGTTGCTCACAATAAAGAAAGAAAGAAATGGGGGAAAGTGGAAGGGGCGTGGCGGTTTGAGATATGCCGTGGCTGACGAGCTGCAATACACCTCAGCTGCGGCTCATGAGGCAGACCTGGAACACAGGAAAGGGAGAAAAAAACTCTCACAGAGGGAGAGCCACTAGAGGTCAGCGACCATAACAAATACTCAGGTCAACACTCTTTGTTTTTTCCCTCTCCCCTAATGTCAGTGATTTCACAATATCCTGCTGCTGTGACTGTGTCTCTAAATTTAATCTATGAAACCTTTAGTCAGTAATTTACGTAAACAGATGCTGTCTCTGTCTTTTCTTAACAGTATTTCTAAAAATGCTTGTTTAATATTTTTTAGAGTGTATCGTTTGTTTGTTTGTTTGTTTGTTTGTTTGTTTGTTTGTTTGTTTGAAAAAAAGCCTTAGCATCCATTTCCTGTTTATTTTTTTATATTAAATTTCTTGTTTTCTGGCTAAGTAATAACACAGAAAAACTGTGTAAGAGAGAGTGAGCACCCAACAGATTGACAGTCAATCTTTAAACAGAAAATATGACTTACATTTCGAGTTTAAGTGACACTCCTTTAGCAAATAGTGGCCTTGCACTTCTTTCCCAAATCCGATGGAACATTAAAGATGGTTCTCATTAATATCTACTACAACCCCCTTCCACTCTAAGGGAGGCTCTTTTTTATGGTTAGTGGTTAAAGGTGTAATATGTGAATGAGTGTACATGTTTACCAAATTAGTACTTGTTTTTTCCCCCAACATCTGCTGTTTCTTACTAGTAGAACCAAATTTGCTCCTCAACTACCTCACTCAGTCTAGAGAGCAAGACAATCACTGGGCTGCAGAATCCTTTACATGACTATCATGACTTGTGAACTGAATCTGGTCAGCATTTACCTGTTGTTAGTTCCACACCGGAATAGGAGCACATCAACCATCAGCTAAGTACCTACGTACACAGAAACAATCTAGCAATCATTTTGGGGTTGTTTTGTTCTGTGATATGAGTATTTAAATACAGCTTTGTTATATTTAAAATGATGTAATTTAAATAAAAAGCACAGATCCATTATGTGGCCATTGTTTTGTTAAAGCCTACAGGGCCTCAGGAGGAAGAGCGCGTCGTCTATCAATTAGAAGGTTGTTGGTTTAATATCTAGCTCCTCAAGTCAGCATGTCGAAGTATCTTTGAGCAAGACACCAGAACCCAAGTTGCCCCTGATGCGTTCATCGACACTCTTCGACATTGAACAAATGGGGTAAATAATGTTTGTCATAAAAAGCGTTTTGAGTGCTCAGTTAGAGGAGAAAAGAACTAAATGGAAGCCCTTTATCCCTGTATTTTAGGAGAGAGGAAGTTTCCTCATCAGATTTCCTCATTTCTAATAACGAACACAAATTATGAATAAATAATGTG